CAGAGAGGTGGCTGTCCAGAGAGATGGGCTGTTGCAGGCGGTCTGGGCAGGTTTAGGGGTACCTAGCATCTCTGTCCCTCCTTGCTGCGGTGGGCCAAAGGCAATGCTCCTTGCCTTGCTGGGACAGCCTGGATCCTGCCTGTGAGTGACCTCTTTAATCCCAGCCCACACTGAGCTCAGGTTTCCACAGAGGGGCCATCCTTCATATCTGGGAAATGCCTCTCCTCCTTAATGGTAGGCCAGTGAAGAGGCTCAGCAGATGAAAGCCTCTTACTTGTATTTACCTAGGGCCTGTCTTTCATCCCCGCCACATCAGGCAGTGTAAGGCTTCTAAGTCTGTGGCTCATAGTCAGCCTGGCACTTAATTAACTCTTCTGTGCAATATCAAGGGAATTTGCCCCACCACGGGGTCAAATATGGTAAGGAGCCATTATCCCTTACGCTGACTTAACATACTCCAGAATTACTTCTGCTTGTGCCTGACATGCATGTAAGCACTTACAGATGTTGAAGGCTTGCAGAGACATGCCCAGTTGCACACATCCCCCTGCTTGTGTCCAAGCAGTCCTTTCTTCCTCACATGTGTAAGGGTTCTGAAGTTAGAAACTGCCTCTGTGGTCAGTGGAGGAAAACAGATATTTCTGGGGTGGGCAGTCAAAGGAGGATCCTCATGTGAGGATGGAGGATTGCTCTCTGCACGTACTGGTCTCTCCTATTAACTGCGCAGGAGTCCCAAGGGAGATCTGCAGCTTGTATTTTAAGTGATAATGACGCTCTTGGCAAAAGGAAATTCACTGTGGCTTCTAGTTTCAGTACCTCCATTATGCACAGTAAGCCCAAGCCTAACTTGTCCTGACGAAAGCCCCAAAATGCATGACTGCTCTGCCACAGCAGAGGCCCCAAGCTGGCTCTGCATGTGTTAATACCATGCCTGCGTGGCAGTGCACTTGAGCTAAGGTATCCTGCTAGAGACCTTTAGGAAACCTGCCTAAAACTGTCTCAGATAGTTGAGCTTCCTTGCTCAGGTGGGGGAGAGCCCACCGCTTCCTCCTGTTCCTGAGGCATGGAGATCTGCCCAGAGTGAGTCAGAGGCCCAGCAGCTACCAGCAAGACACAAATCAAAGTCGCCCCATGACAGCATACGTCTGGTGACAGAAGCACCAGTTTGTGTCCAGCTGTGCTGGTGTAACGGGACCACTTGGATTGATCCTAAAAGAGATGTGCACTCACTGCTCCTTTGAACTTCAGAGGAAGTTACTGCTATGGGGGAACGCACTGGCACTAATACAAATCTCTATTTTACTGCTTAGATAGACTCAAAGTGATGAGAGCAAATCTATCGTTCGACTACCAGAATACCAATTTCCAATTTACATACAGGATGGTGTATCCAGAAGAACCCTTCAGAGTTTTAGACAGCAACATAAAAGCTACAGGTGAGAAGTGGGATGAACATTAATCACTACTATGCAGCATGGGATGAAATACAGATATCATTTTAACCAAGCATAGCTAATCACTATTTAAAAAATGAGATGGAGGAACAGTTCAATGGCAGCTTCAGGCTGTATGTAACAGCCAGCATTGGTAATGCCAGGATTAGCACTTCATGTCTTAAAGAATGAGCTTTGGGACCATAAGGTACAGAAGTGAGTGAGATTTGCCTATGCTTTCTCTGAAAGGCCTCTGCCATTTCAGTAGGGCAGGGAAGGGCATACTAGGGTCTTGCATTTTGATTCTGCTTCTGTTGCTACCAGAATAACTCAGTCATTTTCCTCAGGTCACCTGTGCCATGAACAAGGTTAAATTGCCTTTACATACATCACCTAGGTAGCGCTCCATCCACTTAATGATGTCAATACCTCGTACTGTGTCCTCAAATATATCAATCTGCAAGAGAATTGAAAGTCTGTGGTAAGCATCCTTTCACCTTTCCTCCCCATTTGGTGGCACTGAAAAAGTGCCTATTCATTTCCCTAGTTTCTAACATAGGTGCCTAATTCCCTTAGGAAAGAAACATGTGCATGCGCAACCTTTCCCCTTTCCCTATAGCCCAGAGTCGAGCTGGACGGGCACCCCAGGCAGGCAGAGGGGGGCTCCTCCAGGCACACCTCTGGGCTCCAACTCAGCAGCCATCTGACTGGCTTCCCTGCCCTGCCAGCTCCCGACCCCCAGGCATTTTTTGCTCAGCAGAACAAGAAACAACCACTGATGGTGAATGTTAGATATTCAATGTTTGGAAACTGGCTTTTTTTGCCTCTCTAAATGCCTCAAGAAGGTGGACAGCCGCCCACCTTTTCTACCTGTATAGCTGCAAATGTCCACTATTTTCTGTCTTCAAGGGTATCTACCAAGCGTCAAGTTTTAGCTTCATATTGCACTGAAATGTCAGGGTGTGTGGTGGGAAGTCAGCCAGCTCACTGGTACTGGATGCAGTAACCCAGACTTCAGTGACAGCAGAGAGGTGAGGACGTCATAGGTCTGAATATGACCAGCACCGCTCACTTCGCTGCACGCTCAGTAAACCCAGAAACTGGCAATCAATGACCATGACCAATGGAGTTAAGTATTAACTTCTCCAAGTTTTTGACAGAATAGTCATGTTCTGGTCTCAAGTCTTTCTTTTCCCCATTTTTAAAGTAGAAAACATATTTGTTTCCCTGCTTTGGGGCCATTTTGCTATATTCTGCAGCAGGCTCCGAGAATTGCCTGTCCAGCAAAGGTGTTATTAATGAGCCTTCTACTCCGGACCTCTATGGTGCCCAAAGCTTTCTTATGAATTGCTCATAGTACAGAACTGCTGGAGAGAAGTATAATTGCAGTCTCTGGAAAAAAATCTTTGATTCATGAAAATAAATAAATGTGTGCAAAGCCCTCCACTGAGTTTCATTCAGTTTAATGATAGCCACTTGCTTAAATGCTTTCCTTAATCAAAGCCAAAGAGTGAAGGTTGAGGGGTCAGATAGCATATGCACCTGAAATAAGAAAATATGAATCAAGATTTTGATGAACAATGAATCCTAGAGGCTCTGTGGATGGTTCCCTTAGAGAGAGCCATTATGATGAAGCAAACTCACGAGAAGTTAAGTGAAAATCTGGATGGCTTATGGGATTAGACAGTAGCACACAGATTTTTTCAGGTCAGTGATTTTAGAATCCCTTTTAAAAGTATAACAAAGCAAATGAAACCATGAGATGGGCTGTTTCATTAAGCTGTGTGAAATACACTGATTTTGGATCATTTTTAGCAGAAAGATATTCACTTAGACAGTAGCACACAGATTTTTTCAGGTCAGTGATTTTAGAATCCCTTTTAAAAGTATAACAAAGCAAATGAAACCATGAGATGGGCTGTTTCATTAAGCTGTGTGAAATACACTGATTTTCACTGATATTCACATCTGAAGAACCAACGATGTAATAGCATTGCAGAAAAAAAGCTGTGAAGGGATGAATATGAAAATTGACCTTTTTTAATATTGATATTACAGATCAAATATGAAACGATGCTAATGGAATAGCTCACAAAACCTCAAACGATTGCCTATCTGGTGTCACTAAGTGGAATTTTCCAGGGCCATTATTAAAACACATTTCAAAGCATAAAATTCAGTTAAAATATGAGCAAATGAAAAGGCAAATAATTTAAGTTACAACTTTTAAAGCCAAGGCTAGTTCATTCTATTTGTATCTTCTTTAACCTAAAAAATGCAATGATAAACATAAATCCATTTAAATGGACAGTGTATCATCTCTGCTTTTTAAAAAGAAAGTTTATTTTCTCCCCTGTCTGAAGTAAAATTTCTCTTGAAGGAATACTTACAGCAGTTTGAAATCCATTTACAAGCAGGAAGTTCACGAATTTCATAACCTCCACTGCTGTGTCCACTGAATAGGTTATAAAGACCTTGCCTAGGAGAGAGAGTCCGTATGAATATGCGATGCATTAAAATATGCCATTTGGAAGGTGAAACTTTCACAGGCCTCCTTTTCCACCGTGCTACAGGTTCTGCCCACCTACATCTCTTCAGATTATTAGCCAAATGGATGCAGGATAGTGCAGTGGCTTGGTGTTGAACTCAACCCCCCCTCCAGAAACCTTGGTGTAGATTTAAGCTCCTACTGTCTTGCCACGGCCAAGCGCCCCTATGGAAGCTGCAGAAGGTAATATGACTCTGCTGCTCGCCCTGCCCTGCTGCCAGAGCTGTTTCTTCCCCAGGCCTTTCCCTCACCCAGAGCTTGTGCGACCTGCACTGGCTGCACAGCTTTTCCCCAGACCTCACTGATCTGACTGGGAGCTGGAGGAGCCCTTACGCCTGCTGTACTGCCTCACCTTACAGCAGCATCAGCCCCCTGTGAAGGCGGGATGGATGGCCGAGGACGGCAATGTCTTCAGCTGCCCTTGCCATCATAGAAGGAGTTTTCTTACTAATTAAAGAAACATGGATTTGCAGGTTGGGGTAAACCAGATGGCTAAATCTAATCCAGCTGTGCGCATATCACAAATGACACTATTTTATCCAGTAATTCCTGTATCTAGGACACATTAACTGATAAAGGAGGGTATATCCACAGGGTATCTCCTGTGATAACTCACTCCTACAGGCCAGGGAGATGCAGCTCTCTGGATTTGAAAGGTGATGAGCAAAATGAAGAATGAAGGAAAAATCGAAGCCTCAGGAGAGATGTGGAGGGTTCTTAGCAATGGTATATCTCACCTGCTAGCCAGCGTGGCATTAAGAAGGAAGTCAGTTTTCTGAAATGTGACTTTCCCATTAGAATTGAAGGGTGAAAGCATCTCAGCAGCTGGCAGCAGGGACAGCACCTCAGGCAGTGCCTCTGCCACCCTGAGCCCTCACTGTAGGTTCCTAGTCCTGGCCCAAAGACCTCTCCACCCTCCAGGTCAGGGAGAAACTGAGGTCGAGACTTGACATTTTTGTCTGGTTTGGGACAGGCAGAAACACTTTATCCCTAGGGCTTTGTTTGTTTTCAGTCTGTTACTGTAAGCTTCAGTGCCTCCTGCCTCAAAGGGACATCCTGTTTAGCAAGAAGTTATGAAAGCAATCTAAACGGTATTTGTTTTTCGTAAACAAAATAACAAGCAATTAATGACAATTATGTTTTCAGGATTCAAGGGGATAATTCCATCCCACCAAACACGAATGCTCACACCCTACAGATGTGATGACACTCAGTATTTTCTTTTCTTGTTGTCTTTGTGTCTTAATGTCGTTCCCCTTGCCTTCTGTCCCCTGGAGCTTTCCCACCTAAAGCTGTCAAGCTATGCTGTAAAATCTTGCACAGAACAGATTTGCTAACCACTTACGCAATTCCTCCGGCAAATTGCTGGTTCTCAGAGTTCCCTTGGCTGCAGGGTTACTGAGAGGTCTCGGGACAGCAGCTGGAGATGGAAAATTGTCAGAAGGACAACAGCATGCTTCATCTGGGCCACATGCCTTGGGGGGAAGCTGACCATTAGGTAGCTGGTGGTACAGCTGGTTTCTACAAAGAAAAGCAAGTGAAGATTTTAAAAATATTTATTTTCAGGTAAAATTCAGATATTTTTTTTCTTTTAATAACTCACTAAGAATTTTGTCTGCATATTAGCTAGGAAGAGTTCTTGTAGAAACTCTTTGCTCGACATTTCTACTTAGTTATTACAGCACCTTTTGAACAGATACCTTGGTGACCTTCTACCACAAGATGCATTTTATTGCAGAAGCAACATTAGCCACAGGAAGTAGATGTGCCTCATAGCTGAAAGCTGTTCAGTTTGCAATTAGCAGAAGCAAAGGCTGTTTCTGAGTGAGAAATAATGCTGTGCTGTGCATGTTATTATGCACATATGGGAGCAGGGTGGCACTTGGGTAACCTCTTCCCATTATCTAAAGGGGGCTTCCTGGCACCTTGGGTGCTCTCAGGATATCCTGTACAGCCCAGGAGGCACAGCCCAAGGTGGGGATTAGGAAAAATGGGGGTACAGGGCACTCCAGCTCCAGCTCTGGTGCAGCTTGGAGGATCTCCAGTTGTGGACAAGACTCAAAGTTTTGCTAAAGGGAACAAAGTTAATTTCTTGACCAGCCACAGCAGACCAATGAGGATTTCTCATGTTAGGTGTCTGCACTCCAGACCTGCAATAACCTTACCTAAGGTTCTTCTCCACTGTAAAAAACAGAGCGAAAGGGATGATTTTAGTCAGCTTAGCAGTTCTTGTCCTACTACACTTTGGTTTACAGTTTAAGTCAAAAGGAAGGGGAACCTATATAGATTTTTACATGAGGTGTGCTTTGAATCTGCTGGGCTGAATTTGTTGGACGAGTGTTGGGTTTCTCTGAGAGCTTTTCCCCACAGAGCAGTGATGTTTAGTCAATCAAGCCCACTCTCTTTTTTTTCTTTGCCTTCCTTAAATGAATGATGACAGGCTGGTCACAGCATGTTTTCTGTTGTCACATTAAGATTTGGTTTATTCATTTTGGTACAGATGTTTTCTGTTAAGAAATACTCTATAGGCAAATATTACCAACATATAACTGCCGTTCCTGGAATCAGCATGCAAACACCAGCCATCTTTCCACAGGACAGACCCCGTGTATTCTGGATTTATTTTAATAGAAGAAAATACCAAGAAAAGCAACACATCCCTCATCAACAGCCACAAAAAATTCCTCTGTGGCTAATTTATGGATCTTCCCAAAACTCCACCTTATCTAACAAACACGCCAAAAATTAGGAGTCTGTTTTTAAATTTTTAAATACTGCAAAGGATACCTGCTATTCCTCAGTATTTTCACATTTTCATACAAACTCTTCAGTGTAATTATCTCTGCTGCAGGCACTGCCTTATCTTGCTGTCACTTTTCTGTCACAGCCCCTGACTTTTCACAGGCCAGAGCACTGTGACACTTCAGTCGCCTGCCCTCTTTTGTCCCGCCTGTTCTCCCAGTTTTCTGCCAAGACCATGGCATGTAAGTGGACACTTTCAAGCAGAGATGCCTGTAAGTTTAGCACCTGTGAAAGTATTGTGGCACTTAGATAAAAATGGTCTGATTTCAGATGTCCTCAATACCTGAAGCTTCAATTTGTCTTAAGGTAGCTGAGTCTGGAGAAAACCCTGCATGGACAGAATTTCCCATCTGTTAATGACATACTTATAAGGAGGGAGATATAAGGCCTGGTAAATTAATTAAAAATCCAGTCAAAAAGCCCTGGATTTTCATCCGGTGTTAGATGTGGTGTTTTATTGCTACATGAAAAATCCTAGAAAAGGCTGCAAACTGCAATGTAGAGATATATCAGTGACGGTTGAGATTTTCTTCCTTTTTCTCTGCACTATGGAAGAGATAAGAAGGAAATCACTGGAAGCCAATGACTGAGGCATCCCAGGTTGGTACAGCGTAAAGCTGAAAACTGCAGTGAGCCACCAAATTGACCTTTGCTCTTGAGCAGGAGAGCTCTAAGGTTTCAACTGAGATATTTTTCAACCCCTCACCCCTATAACCTTCAAGCGTTTATCTTCCTTAATGTGTGCATTTCAGGGTGTGCTGTAACAACATATCAAGTATCTGGCTTTGAAGTTCTCCAGGGTAAGGTCAGGCCCCTCTTGGTGTAAAATAGCAAATAAAGAAACTACCCAGCATCTCACGTGTACCCCTGCAGCCTGGGCACGCTAACATTACAAGGCTTCAGAATTACTGGTTGAAAGCCCATAAAATCAGATCAGAGGAGCTTCTACCGCATAAAACCCACCGCCCCCGAGGTGTACTTACGGGAATCGAGGAGGACCAGGGGAGGAGGATGTCCTCTGGGGTGGCTGATCTCCAGTGCCCTTGGGAGCACGAGGGTTTGAGTAATTTGGGATGACTTGCTGGGCTGGGCGGATAACTCTCATGCAAGGTCCAGGAACAGGAGGAAGTGGTTGCGATGTATGTGCAAAATGTTGGTAAGGAGCTCTGCCATCTGGGAGGATGAGAAAATAAAGGCAGCAACTATCATTTCAGCCAATACATTTCTGCCTCAGTTTGTGTTTATTCCTTTGCAGGCACTTCCTCCTTCATGTCTCAGGAAACTGAGCAGTTTGGAGGCATTTGCAGGTATCTTGGTCTGAAACAAACCTGATTAAGGAATGTTTCACAGTCTGAAGTTTCCTATTTCCCATTCACATATGGCATGGTTCAGATCCCTGCCCTGGGCTGGGCTGTTGGGACAACGGACAGTTAAACATTCAGGGCTGCTTTGTCCCTGCACTTACCATGCCTCAGTGTCTTTTGGTTGGTTTGGGGTTTTTTTAAATTTATTTTTGGCAGTAACTTGCAAAAATGAATCATCCCAATGTTCTCATGAAAGCAGATGCAAAATCCTGGAACAAATCAGTTTGCAACACTAAGGCTAAACAGACTGTGATTATTGTAAATGAAAAGAGAAAAAATAATCTCTTGGTTTGTTACTTCACCCTGTATGAATTTTCTGCCTAAGTGACCTTTTAAGGCCTTGCTGCTGCTGCTCCTGTTGGCATCCAGGAGGCTGCAGGGGAAGCCCAAAGTGACAATTTTGCTCAAGCAATTCTGAAAAACCTTACTGTTGTTGGCTGTGCACACATAATGCTGTTTAATAGCTAACATACAGTGGAACTGTTGGCATAAACTGAAAGAGAAAGCAATGTAAGCTGTTTGTTTCCCAAACAGGGAAAACTTTTTTTTTTCAGTCTTTCTGCTTGCTGTTTTCAATAGGCAGCAGCTCTGCGCACTTTCAAGCTGCTGTGTGCAGATCAAAGTCCAGCCTGGCAAGGCTTATTAGCACTGCATGATTATGGTGTTATGAGCTGGCTCTGAAAGCTGCAGTACTCAAACACTCTTCCCCGCCCCCTACCACGACATTTTTTTTAAATCCTTTTAGCTATTTTGGGGTCATGCTTTCGTTTTTCTAGCAGCCATGAGGACTAATTTTTTTTTTTTTTTTAAAGGGGGAGGGAAAAAAAAAAAAGGAAAGAAAACAAAGCTTTGATGAAATAGTCCAATTCCAGGAGCCAATACTTTAGAAAAAAACAGCCAACTCCACAATTGCAAAGAGATTCCTGATGAAATTGTGAGTAGGCAGCACTGCATTTGTTGACATTGTTTTAGGAGATTTTCCGCCTCTACTTCTTAACTATTTGCAACAGGACACAGTAAAAGAGGCTAGGAGAACAAAATTGAAAGTAAATATAGTCTTCTCATGGGTTCCTCATCTCCAGCTCTAGGGAAGGTGGCAGGGCTCTGGGAGATTCAGTTTGGTTTACAGGTTTTAAGGCCAACGTTTCACCAGCTTCCTTTGGATCTATCTGATGCTACAGTATCTTAATGGACACAACCACTGCTGTTCAGAAGCACAGCATGACCAAGCATGTGTGCCCACCCTCACCAACAGCTCTCGTGTATGAGTATCTGAAATAATGGTCCCTGGGCACATAGCATTGCTGTGAGGATTTATTTGACTTCAGAAGCAGTTTTGCTGTTGTATGATCACAAATAGCAGGTGTCCAGAGCCAGCTTAGAGCCTACGGGCACAATTGCCATTCCCTGGGAGAGGTGCATTGCAACACACAAACTGCAGAGCTTTGTTGTGGGTTGCCACTGCCCAACAATTATCTGAAATGCAAGGAGCTGTCAGGACGTGATTTATGCTGTACCGGGCATGTGAGAAACAGGAGCACAGTTGCCCGCTTCTTGGTCCTGACCAGATCTGTTCTAGCCATCTGAGTTTATTTTATTCTTTTTGCCCTCTGGATATGATTGAAACAGTAGTGATTTTTCTAGAGAGCCTTTCAGAGTTCCTGCTTTAAAACAAAATGGCCTCATTCGGCAAACGTCCTGCTTCTCACGATGCCCGCGTGTGGAGGAGGTAAACGGAGGTAAATAGTGAGGGGTGTTGTGCAACCAGCTCTTTGTCTGCTTAAAGCTGAACTGAAAGGAGAAGGTAGAAAAGAAAACCAGAGGATGCTGTGCAAATGTTCAGCTGCAGACACTGATGAAAGTCCATCTGTAGCCCCTTCCTCTTTACAAAGCCCCAAGATCAGAGGTGAGAACTGAGGCTCTGGTACCCTCTCTTTTTCATATACCTAATTATAGCACGTTCCTGGAATGACAAAACTCTTTAAACAGATGTAATACAAATGATGTGGAGTCAACAGAAGGTTAAAGAAAAAAAAAAAAAAAAGGTTCTCAGAACAGGCCTACAGCTTTTTATTACAAAGCCAGCCCAAAACAGGCAGGGGTCTCCTGAGTCTAATGTAATATAAATTATATTAAAACAATGATATTGCTGTTGAATGTTCAGAGCTCACTTCATAAGAGATAAAAATCTCAGAGACTGAAAAGAATACTAATTAATAGCAGGCTGTAAACTGTGTCATAGTCTCCAAGAGCCAAAACACCCATATTGACAGAGTCACATCAGTGTTCAGTGATACAATCACCAGCAGCTGAGAGGGCTCCATTTTAAGCAATGAGCTTTCATTTCAGCTGACAACAGAAAAAAAAAATGAGGATGATGGATGTCACGCTCTTTTCACATAGAAATTAAACACATGGGTGAGTTTGGTCATAATGCTGGGAGATACTATTTACAGAGATCAAGCGTAACCTCCCATCCCGACTCTTGTCAGGAAATTCTCAATTTTGGGGATCCAAGTGGGAGCAAGGAAATCCATGAAAACAACAGGAATTAAGTCAGTTTAGGAGGCTGCTGAATGACTGATGCAAGGAGGAAGGAAATTACTAGAATGTGAAATAACAGCAGGGAGAAGGCTGTGCATGCTCAGCGTGACCGACAAAGGCTAGTTTCTAGGCAAAATTATTATCCTTCATTTGATGAGTAACTGAGCTCTTTAACTTTTTATCTGGCTCAGAGGTTCTGCATCAGAGAGTCTGGCTGCATAACCCAAAAATCTGGAAATATAAAATGGACTGCAAATAGATGTTTAAAATGGTTAATAATTCCATGCCATGCATTGCCATGAAGTACAGTAGGAAAATGACAGCTTGGCGAATGATGGCCCTGATACACCTGGAAAACCTCCAGTCTGGCTGCATAACCCAAAAATCTGGAAATATAAAATGGACTGCAAATAGATGTTTAAAATGGTTAATAATTCCATGCCATGCATTGCCATGAAGTACAGTAGGAAAATGACAGCTTGGTGAATGAAAAACCTCCCGTGGGGTGAGCTGTGCTACTCACATGGGCCCTGCGGGTGCTGTTGTGCTGGGCAGCGGTGCCCAAAGCAGCCATGGGCTTGCGAGGAGGCGTTGGGATGGGGCAAGTGCTGGCACATAGAGCACTGCTGATGCTCAGGTCCAAAAAACTCTCTGGAGATCAGTGGTCCTGGGAGGTCCTCGGAGTTCAGTACAGACACCAGCGGTAAGGGGGGCTCCAGGTCCCTGATGCCCATGACATCTCGTGACTGGGAGTTGTACCCTGTGTCCACGGTCCCCAGCTCTGCCAGGGGTCTTTTTCCTGAGGGTTGCCGTGACTGTGAACTCCCTTGGCTGCTCTCCTCCAGTGAGTCCTCCAGAGCATCAGACAAGCTCTGCTCTGATTTACTGGAGTTGTGCCTGGTGTCAGCTGAAAGCTGTGATCTTGGCTGCATGCCTGGTTTGTCCATAGCTGCAAGATGCATCTTGGAGGGAACTACTCCAGCTATTGATTCACCAGCAGAACAGAAGTGTCCATTTCCATCGGGATCGGTATATTTTGACCACAACCTGCTGTCCAGCTCCACGGACGGTGTTGACTGATGACGTGCTGATGCTCTGCAGAGGCACGATGGATCTGCCACAGGCTGAGGCGTTTGAGTGACACATGGTCTCTGGGACTCCTCATCTTCCGTATCCTCTCCAGAAGGCTGCAAAGACTTTTCCAAGACCTGTTCGGGAAATGGGGACCATGGCATGGATTCATCCACTTCGACTGGTATACTTCGACCCACAAAAGTGCCTGAAAAAGTGGGAGAAAAAACACTGTAAATGGACAGTCATACACACAAACGTCTGTCATCAGTCATCACTGAATGGCTGTGAGCTGGAATACTGAGAAGCAGTATGTATTCTTTATATTCTTTATGTTTTTTAAAAACACAGACAAGCAGCAAGAAAGGTCTGGCTGAATTTTGGCAAAGCAAGGAAGTAGAGGGTTAGCTGTGTGTGGCTAGCACAGAGTTATAATTTGGACTAACCTGACGCAGAGGCCATTTCCAAGTTTTGTAGTTGCACCGGAAATGAGAGTCAGCTGCCTTATGCAAGGCCAGGATTTTCCAGCAAACTGGAAAACAAGAGAGAGGACTTTTGTGAACATGGTACAGTTTCAAACAGGCAATAATCCTAAAATAACTCTGTCTCAGAGACTGGAAAAGAAATACCGGTTAGAGTTCTGGAAATCACATTGCACAAAACAGACTTCTGGAACTTACTGCTCCTGCTGAGACTAGGGGGTGGGGGGAAGCATGTGATCTGTCTCTCAGAGGTGATTTCTGTACCTGACAAAAGAGCAGGCTGCTTAGATCTGGAGGTTTGGTTCAGGCATATTCCAGGGAATACAATCACTTGCAATTATTTTACTCCGGACCTTCTAATAATAACTTCACACTGATGCCTGAGATTTAAACTTCACCACCCGCCTAGTTGTGTAATTTCAGCTCCAAAGCTTGTTTCCAAGTGTTGCTGCTGCTGATTTTATCAAACCACTTCATCCATCCTATTATCACATGGCTGTTGTTATTTCAAATTATTGAGAATTAAAAGACAATTTAGAGACATTAGTTATTGTTTGGATTATTTTTTTCCTTCCTTTGGAATGGGCTTGGGATCTAAACATTAAAATCATTACTTCCTTTTGGGGGTGCTGTTGGTAAATTTGGTCCAGCCAAATGATCCCTGATGATGGATGCCTCTGCTCCACCTTAGCTCAGAGTGATGGCAGCAGTGATGGGTGAACGCTGAGTGGGCTTCAGGAACTGCAGCCGTCTTCATCCTCTGGTACATGGGTGCAGATTAGCTTGCTCCCAGCAAATTTTATCTGTTGCTGTGGAGCATAGAGAAACAAGCCCTGTGCTCATCATTTCCCCAGCCATTTTCCTTCTATCACGCTGGAGAAGCTAAAATCCAAAGTAGGAGAGTTATCAGAGAAGAATGGACTAAGCACTCAAGCAACAGGAATGACAATGTTTGGCAACAGAATCTGGCTTGAGAGCCTGGTAAAGGAAGTCAAAATCAACACATTTGAGGAGCGATCCAAGGATTTATCCCAACTTCAGTCACAGTAGCTTGAACAGAAAGGTCAAGTGAAGAACGTATTCAAAAGACCACAGTATTAAAAACAATTGAACAGGATTACAGAGAGGTATAAGGCAGTGTCCTGACCTTCGCCCTGGATCCCACAGCAATCTTATAAAGGGAACAGATGTGCCCCATGCTACAGGGCAAGAGTCAGCCTTTACATTCATGCTGATCAGATCAAATGCCATGTAATCCCTCCAAAAGTACCTCTGGCATAGAAAATTCTAGGTGTAACATTCGCTGGGAAGTAGGATAGAAACTGTGCTTTGCTGCTGGGCTGCAATGTAAATTTTCCTGCTCTGTGTAACTTAAAACCCATCTATGCAGAGATTTACCATCTTTTCAAAATACACATCCTATGTTATAATAAGCACGTCCACAGGGAGAGTTATCCTGGGATAAGTGCAGTGGGATAATTACACTGGTAAATTTTCCCATGTAGGCAAGTCCTCAGAGCTGCTATTAGTTACACCAACACAGCCAACACTTTGCAGCTCCAACAGCTGCAGCCCCCTACATGAGAGCACTGGGTCTGGTGCCAAACCAGCTCCTTCCCATACAAGCACCCAGGCTTGAAATCCTGACGGTCAGCTCACCACCATCACACATCTCTCCCTGCGGTTTGCATCCCTTTTCTTCTACGTCACGTCACTTAACGCCAGCCCTGCATGCTGAGTCATGGTTTTCTGGCAGTCATAACCAACATGATGGGAAAGCGAAAACCTCGAGCTCTCACAATCAGCACAGGACTGTGACAGGGACTTGTGCTGTGCTGTCCTGTGTGGTGGTGGGAAAACATCACTTAGCTGGGACCTTTGGTCAGATGGCAGTTTAAATGATGACTGCCCTGTGGTGGTGACTCACCAGGACAGTACAGTGCTAGGTCAGATTTATAGGAATTGGTGTGTAAAGCTGCTGAGTAGTCTCCTGACAGGCTTAAAGAAGTACCTAAGAAGCTTAGGTGTCAAGCTCCGGGCAAGGCATCTGCCTTTTGCTCATCAAACAGCTTTGTAAACTTGACCCTCGGATCATCTGGCTTCGAAGTGCCTGCTCAGACATGCTTTGACTTGTGGATATCTCTGACCATGCTTGTAGGCTGAATGACAGGCACTCGAGCAGCACAAATCATATTGCAAACACTTATTCCCCCCACTGAGCATCTCCAGTGAACTGGTTCTCCGTGCAAAATTCTCCCTGGTGTTCGTGAAGCGCAAGCTCAGCTGTGGGGTACTGGGGTACAGCTCCAGCTCTTTACCCGCATGCGTTGTCTGAGCATCCCACCCCATTGGATATAATCCTCAGGAAACACCCAAACATGGCTTTCCAGAAGCACATTTGCAATGCCTGATACACTAAGGCGCTTCTTTGATTGTCTCTGAAGTAGATCAAAATGCTAGAAAACACTTTGAATTCACATCCTGTATATTCAACAGCCCTTAGTTTAGCACCATGACAAGAAGAACAAATTTCTGTGGAGAAACCAAGAACTCAGTCCAGAGGTCAGTGAAGTAAAGGGCAATCTATTATTTCGGTAGGTTTTAGATCAAGTGTCAGATGGGATTTAAAAGCTACTAAACTCCTTTGGAGGATACAACCTCCAAAGTTCTTGGCTTTTTTTTTTTTTTAGTTCTATTGCTAACATCTGTCTATCTGGGAAATGGATCATGCACAGACTGTGTGAACCTAATGAAAGGCACAACATGGGCAGAAAAAATTCAGACTTGTTTTCTTGTTTGTTGTTTAGTGTATTTACTCTGTCTTTTGGAGGAGGGATATTAAGACTTTATTGAACTGTACTGCAAATGACCAGCTACCTAACTCTTCAAATGGCTTACTTCAGAAGAGTTAAAAAATGTCTTGCCTATTAATTTAGCCCTCTGAAAGGATAAATGCCTCTTTATCTCTCAAATCAACTTAATACTTAAATGACAGCCTTATTTCCTTCCTGTGTAACATGAGCTAAACATTATGAAATTGCTCCAAACATCTGAGTAAAAATAATTTGGTCAGACAGAAGAGAGACCTGATTTAATCACCTGTGTTTTTACCTGCAAAATCTTCCAGGGTTTTGGTTTTTTTTTTTTTAGTATGATTTAGCTTAGACCCTGCTGCAGGATAGCTGAGGAGCGAAAGCTGAGCTTTGATACCCACTCACAGCTCCTGCTCCTGTGGGGCCGAGGTAGGAGGCACCGAGGGGCTGAGGGCTTTGGTGTTAAAACAGACACATCATTAAAGAGGAGGAAAAGTGAGTTCATTCTCCTCATCTTCCCTCAGTAGCTCTTGTTGCAGAGAGAAGCTGTAACAACAGCAGAGCTCTGCCTGTAGAGATGGCCCTGAGGATAAATTAACCCCAGGATGTGCTGAACACTTAGCAATGCTGGCAATGATATGTGGATGGGAATTCCCAAGAGAAATCCCCATGTTGCTGGAAATGTTACAGATGATTCAGAAACATCCTCCTCCAACAGCAATGCTTCAGGACCCTGTTTATGCTCTGCTGAAGATCCTTGGGTTTTGGAAAAAGACTCAATGCTGAGCCCATTATCCCAGTATTTTGTGTTGCCTCGTGCTGCAGAGTTTCATTAGGTTTCCTTTGACTTTTCTAGTTAGCTTATTCTACAAGTATAGTTAGGCATAGGACAGAAAAATAACTCACGTCTCCTGTGTTGAAGAATGAGGATAAAGGAATGCTTCAGCATACTGAAATACCCTCAGAAACCTGTAGCCTGATCCCTTTTCTGGCACGGAGACTGCTGGAGAGCATGCATTGTGCCCAATCTAATTTCCAAAGACACTGCAGCTTCAAGTCAGATCATGATATTGCCAGAAAGCTTTGAGAATTTAATATCCCCCTTGCACCTATGACTATGCAGGAGATTACTGATAACCAGCTGGAGCCGTTGCATATATTCCTGCTTGTAATGAAGTGAAGAGGGCCTTCCTAAAGGGACAGAGTAGCCAGGCCTCGACTGCTCTCAAAAATGTGGAGGAATCTCCTTAAACCACCCTTTCTCCTGCTCTTCCTTCCTGTGCTCATACAGTCATGTGATGGATTCTGTAACATGCATTAATTCAGCAAATAACCTTCCTGGGTGGGTGCTCAGTGACCCAAGCTCCTGGGAAGAAACCCCATCCCAGGTCCCTTGCTAGGCTTCCCAGAGCTGGAGAGGTTCTTCCCTTGCTCCTGCCAGGGAGTCCAGTGGGAGGCTGCCCAGCCCACCTGCTCACAGCCGGCCACTGCTGGCGATGGCTGCTCCTGGGAAGCTGCAGGGAGAGCCTAAATGAAGGGGAACAAATTCTTCTGCAGGTCGGTAGAGATGGGCCTGAGCACTCAAGTTTAAAGCAAGGGCCAAAGTCCCCTAAAAAACATCCAACAGAGGCAAGGGGCTGGCCAGGGAGAGGAAGGGTGGTGGGCTTAGGCTCATCTGTGCAGATTTCTTGTGGCTGATTGCAAAATCCATCAGGTATTTCATCTGTTTCCCAGCACAAAGGCTTGTGAGGATGCACTGTCCCAAACACACGCTAACCATCTATCTGCTTTTGATTAGAAAACTTCTGTCGTGAAGAGACAGAAGAGAGACTCTGCAATGTGAACATAGCTGTGTTCCCCACCGCTTCCGGAGAGGGGGAAACTATCGTCGCTCTTTTGATCAAGGTTGTATT